CATATTATTTTACTATACACATTTAATGATTGATGTGCATGAGACTTTGAACACAAAATATTCTATTTAACAGAAACAAATACATTCCACATCAAATTTTAGCAAACAATTTCAGACAACAATTTAGATCAACTTTAGGAATGGGCAAACACTAAAGAAATATTAAATTTGCAACCCTTCAAAGGCAGACAAAGGCAGAAACTTTATCCTCAATAAGGGTCCCTTACTGAAGCGACCTATTTGAAAAATCATAATTCTATTAAAGAAAGATCTTTAAAAAAAAAAAATGGAGGCTCAAATTATTTTTAAGTTTATTAAATTTAAATTTTTAGACTTTATCTTTTCAAGTTGTCTACTTCTATATCTATTTTTTTGAGATGTTGGTCTATGGTTTTCTTTTCTTGTAAAGTATCTGTCTGGCTTTGGTATTAGGGTAATACTTTGCCTCATAAAATGGGGAAGTGCTCTCCCCTTTTCTATTTTTGGGAAGAATTCGTGTTTTCTTCCCTAAGTATTTGGTAGAATCACAAGTGAAGCCATTTGGTTCTGGGCTTTTCTTCGTGAAACTTTGTTTCTTAAAATAAATTAGGAAATATCAACTCTAACTCCTTTAATCAACAAGTTAAAAAAAGAGGATCAGAAATCCCAGGGATTATTTTATTGTCTCTTAACCAGTTTGAGAAAGTTCCTTTCTATTCCTGGTTGTTGAGTGTTTCTATCATGAAAGGGTTTTCAATTTTGTTTAACTGTGTCTATTGAGATGATCACGTGGTTTCTGCCCTTTATTAATGTGGTATATGACATTAATTATTGTATGTTGAACCAACCTTGAATTCATGGGAAAAATCCCAGTTGGTCATGGTGAATAAATCCTTTTTCTATGTTGCTGGATTCTGTTGGCTAGCATTGAGTATTTTTGCATCTGCTTTCATAAGATACATGGGTCTATGTTTTTCTTTTCTTGTATACTATTTGTCTGGTTTTGGTAATAAGGGCTTCATAAAATGAGTTGAAAAGTGTTCTCTCCTATTTGTTTGGAAGAGTTTGTGAAGTATTGGTGTTAATTCTTCCGTTAATATTTAGTGAAATTCACCAGTGAAGCCATTTGGTTCTAGGCTTTTCTTTATGGGACTTAAGTCTCTTAAAAGTAGTTAGTGTCTGGCCAGGCGTGGCTCAGCAGTTGAGCATCGACCTAGGATTGAGGCGATCGGGGTTCGATTCCCAGTCAGGGCACATGCCTGGATTGCGGGCTTGAGGCAGCCAATCAATGACTCTCTCATCATTGATGTTTCTCTCTCTCTCTCCCTCTCCATTCCTCTGTCTGAAATCAATAAAGATCTATTTAAAAAAAAAGATAGTAAACTCCAACTCTAATTCCTTTAATCTATGAGAAATTAAAAAAGAGGAATAGAAGAAATTACCTAGCTAATGTTATTGGTTGTTTTTTAAAAAAAAGTTGATTTTTAAAAAGGCAGTGTGCAATAAAAGCTAAGGCAGTCTTTCATGGAGGCTGCCCATTCATCTTTTTTAATTTTAAGTCTTATTGGGCTTTGATACATTAGGTTGTTTAACTTAATCATCACAAGGAACCCCAGGGTGCTCTATTATTCCCATTTGACACAGAAGGAATTTAAGACTAAGAGAAGTTACACGAACTTGTCCAAGGTCACAGTTAGACATATATGGTAGTGTTATGAGCAGGAACTCAAAGAGACACCATAATCCTTCATCAGCTATTTAATAACTTGGCATACTGGGTGAATTACCTAGCTCAGGGCCTGTTTCATCTCTAAAATGAGAATAACATCATGATCTACTTCTTAGGGCTGTTGTACAAAACACATGCTAAGTGTTTATGACTGTGCCTGGCTTACAGTATGTGCTCAACATCAGCAGTGAGTTCTATTACTAGCTGTCGCCCAGTGCCGCCATTCAAGCTTTAGTGGTTCTAAAACTCTGGAGTTTTAAAGCAAATCAGAAACGTCTCAAATTGGAAAGGAAGTAGTCACAGATAAACCATTTTGCTTTTATGAATACTTTTTGTACCTTCTTATTTTACTACATGTTCATCTAGTAAAAAAAAGCACTTAAAGGTGGAAAAAAGGTATAAAATTCACAGTGGTCTTTACTGTAAATGCTTACTCATTTAAAAATAGATCCATATTGCCTTTACAGTTTTGAATTGTTTTTCATTGACTAAAACATTAGAGTCTATTTTTTCATAGCACATTCTTTTTTGCTATAAACATAGGTTTATATTATGAATACTCAAAATATATTGCTGAGGATTGTCTAAATTCTTTAAAGAAAAAAAAACCCCTCCAAATAATTTTCACAGCTCACAGTTAAGCCTAATTTAAAAGTACTTATGTTGGCCTAGCAGGCGTGGCTCAGAAGCTGAGCATCGACCTATGATCCAGGAGATCTCAGTTAGATTCCCAGTCAGGCACATGCCTGAGTTGCAGGCTCAAGCCTGAGGGGGGGAGGAGGGGGTACATGTGCAGGAAGCAGCTCTCATTACTGATGTTTCTATCTCCCTCTCTGAAATCAACAATATATTAATATATATTATTAATAAACAAATAGATAAGAAATGAAAGTACATATGTTGCACCCTGGCCAGTGTGGCTCAGTTGGTTGGAACATCATCCAGTACACCAAAAGTTGTGGGCTCTATTCAGGTTCCTGGTTGAGGTATGTAGGAGAGGCAACCATGCTTGTCACTCCCCCCCAAAATCAATAAACATCCTCGAGTGAGGATTAAAAAAAGTACATATGTTGCAGTTAACAAAGCATTGCAGTTAGCAAAGCATTCAACCAGCACCTTTCTGACAAAGTTCTACAGTAAACTATATAGGTTACAACTATGTTCATGCACTTTTATTATTTCCTAGCTGTTATGAGCTACCAATTCTGTTTGCACAGTTCATTACACTATTCAAAGTAGTTCACCATCCTATTTGTCCCTTCTAACAGCCCGCTAGGTAAGGTATACAAGCAACTTCTTATTTCCATTTTAAAGATGGGGAAACCAAGGTGGTTCATAAGCTAGTTCCCCACGCTCAGCCTGAAATTCAAGTCTCTCGAGCCTGCACTGATGCTTACCAACTGTCACTTCATCCCCTTAAGCTATTTACAGGGCAAAGTGAACTCTGTAACTAAAAGGATGCAATAGCCTGATTGCCAAAACTGCAGTAACGACTTCAGTGAAAACGTTTACCCCTCATGGCCCTTGCAAGATAATATGCTAGTTGAAACTGCTGAGTTAAGACAGTATGGTGTGGAGAGATACTGACACCCACTTTCAGATAGATCAGAGAATCTGTTTGTTGCAGGACACATTCACTCCAATACAGTTCACCCTACACTTCTCATGATCTAGTTACCTGGCTTGTCTGCTTCTGCACCCTGGCTGGTGCACAGAACTCCCACATAGTTCTTTACCTCTGCTCTAAGTATAATTATAGCAAATGTACAACATGGCAGTGATTCTATTCATGATCTTCAAACACTGCTGAAAAAAAGACTAAGATACAGAATGATTTTAAAGATAATACAATTTTCCCTCTAAGAAAAAAACTCTTATTAAAAAAATCAAGCAAAATGTTCCGTTTCCTAAGTCAGACATAAAGTGACTTAGCTGTGAGTCACCTTTGTCCTCCCAACCTTTTAATATTCAGCTCAGTTTAACTTCCCTCAACCAGCATACACTTGTGTCATGCCCAGCAGTTCAATTCACCAGGTCCTGGGAAACAAGACTTAACCAACTCTAAGAGTAGGCTGACAGTGTAGTGGACCAACAGCATTCAGACTATAATTTATTGCAATCACTATTTATTGTGCAATTAATATGTATCAGACTCTGCTGTCCTATTTTATAGGTTTGGGGAGTTTTTTTGTTAAATATGTCTTTATTGATTTCAGAGAGAGAGGGAGAGAAATAGAAACATCAATGATGAGAGTCACTGATCGGCTGCAGCCCGCAACCCGGGCATGTGCCCTGACCAGGAATCCAAGCCCGATCTCCTGGATCCTAGGTCAACGCTCAACCGCTGAGCCACGCCCGGCCGGGTTACTGTCCTATTTTATATACAATTTCATTCTAACAACTCCATCAGGTATTATTATACCCCTTATTTGGGGAGAATTGGAGTATAAAACTTAAGTAAATTGCCCACATTCATACAGCAACAAATGACCGATGAAGGACTTGAACCGGGGCCTTAACCAAAACTTAACCTTAATACCAAAACTGCCTAGGCTTCCACTACAATCCCAACGTGATCATAAAATTAACTGCATGACCTTGGGTCAGTCATTTTATAGCTTTGGGCCTGTTCCTCCACTGTAAAACGACCTGCCCACAGTGAGCTTCTGAGTGCTTTCCTGCTTTTAATGTCTGGTGAATTTCCGACTGGATTACTCCCCACCTCCGAATAGGTGAAAATGTTAAGACTGAAGTTTTTCAATCACTGCATGTTCTAGCACATTCTCCATCCTCTTTAGAGTGCTAGGTTCCAGTCTCTGCTTTGCGGTTCTATTTTCAAATCCTGAACCTGTAACACTAATCCTAAACATTCTTTTAGTATGATTATCACCTTTCCCCACTACTAGAGGTAGCGACCAGGCCCGATTCCACTGCAGACCTTTACCCGGTTACTCCAGGCCACCTCTCGGCTTCCCAAGCAGCCAGCAAAAGGCCTGAGAAAGCTCTAGAAGCAAAGCCACAGACAGAAACTGGCTTTCCCTGAGATTAAGGGAGGCTCTAGAGCACCCGCCACGCCTCCCGACCCCAACGGCGCTACCTGGGCTGGGCTCTCCCAACGGAGCCGGCCCAGGTTCAGGCCTCGCCCCTGACGACCCGCGCGTGGGCAGGGGCCTGGGCCCTCGAAACCCAGCCCGACCCGTCAGCTCCGCTCGGCACCTCGGCCCCCGCGCTACGCACCCAGGCCCCTGGGGTCCTCATCGACCCGAAGACACACGCAGGCCTCTCGTCTCACCTCAAGCCTCCCAGCGACCGCCGGCGGCGCCCGCGCCTCCTCCCGCCCGCACACCTGACCCTGCGCTGCAGTGGAGAGAGCGGCAGAGGAGGCCCGACTGTCACGTGCCACAGAACCAAGAGGCCTAGGTTGCCGCTGCGACCGCGCGAGCCAGCCCAGTCGCACGATGTCCGGCCCTGCATCCGCCCCTCGCTCCTGAGTAGCCGGAGTCAGAGCAAAGTCCCGTCCCCCAGCGCCAGCTCCGAAATGCGGTTGGTCAGTATGGCCGTCGCTCTAATCACCTTCCCATACGCCCCCTAGGGCTATTCTTCGTGGAGTGTGAGGATTGGCTGGGAGTGCGGCAGGAAGTAGCTGTTGGTTGGGTGGGAGGGGAGGGGGCGGGCCACAGCTGATTGGGGACCGTGGGCGCGCGCTCTGGGGCGGGCCCGCCTGCAGGCGGTACCGCGCCCCGAAGCCCTGGTATTTTAATGGGCAGGCTGTGTGGCGTTTCCTCTCAGCCCCTGTGGCGTCTACCCGTCGGTTTTTGGACTCCGGCCGTAGCCCCAGTTTTCTTCGCTGAGAGGGCAAATGGCAGGCGGTAGACGCGGTGGGAGGGCAGGCGTGCCATCGGGAAGGGCCAGTTCCCCTTGCGGCGTGTGCAAGACCCCGACGGCGTGCTGGCGGAACCGGTAAGGGCACCAGGCCTGGAGTCGCCTGCACAGCCCTGTGTAACCACGCGACACTGTTCCTGTTGGGCCTAGCAGCCTGCAGCTGCCAGCAAACTAGAGTCCAAAATACTATAATCCTGCCCTAGCCGGTTAGAGCGTTGGCCCTCAGACTGGGGGGTCCCAGGTTGGGTTTGGGCCAAGGGCAGGTACCTTTCTTTCAGGCTCAGTCCCCGCCCCCTCCCCCCCCATGTGTCTTTTTCACACAGATATTTCTCTCTTTTTCTCTCTTCCACTCGCTGAAAAGCAAAGGGGAAAAAATATCCTTGGGTGAGAGTCACAAAAAAACAAAATACTGTAATCAGAACACAATACATATACAGATGATGCATTATAGAATTGTACCCCTGAAACCTATGTGGTTTTATTAACCAATATCACGCCCAATAAATTCAATCAAAAAGAAGAAATACTATAATCCAAGGTTTCTTCAACTTTCAATTTGTGATGTATACTGAAGTAAGATTAGACATGAGGTCACAGACACACACAGAGGACAGGATTGAGAGAAAAGGGTGGTGCAATGGGAAAAGAAACACACCACTATTTTTAAACCCATTTTTAGCACGTCTTTAGTTTTCAGTATGCTGAGAATCTCGGAAAATGGAAGTAGCCTAAGGTTTTCCTAGACCTTTATAGGTCCTGCTCTGTCTTCCATTTGTTTGTATACCCAAAAGGTGATTCCTAGTGATACCATTGTAATAATCTGATTATTATTGGAAAGGAATGAAGGGAAGACTAGATAATATAGAAATGCCATTTATACAACTTTGCTAATTTAACACTCTCCAAGTTTGTTCCCTGCTGATCGATGGGGGAAGGGACTGGACAAAGGCAGTTTAGAGGCATGCACAGTACGGTATGGGTAAGTGGGAAGGTGCCTTCCTGTCTGCTGGTCACACCCAGAGACAAACTAGTGGCCAGAATAGGCGTGGCCACTGCAAGGGCTGGAAACCTGGATATTTAAACTTTTAAACAAAGGAGCAGCAGCGCTGTCTTGGTTTTTACTTTTTGCCTCTCTTTGCCTCTGGTCCTCTTGGGACTTCTGTTGCAGGGGGCAAGCTCCCCTGCACCTCATGGCCAACAGCCATGTGGGATCCACACAATGGACTTTACTTAACTGATACTGACTGACCCAGCTGGGACACGGAAAGGAAGCTGTGGACACTGCCCTCTTTTTGGCTTTGCTGAAACCACAGTTCCCCTTCTTTCAGCACTGGTTAAGGGGCATAGGACTTTGGGACCTGAGGAATGGTGCTCCACACCAATAAAAAACATTCATTCACCCATGTGAATCTTAGAAAATTGTTTTTCTGAAGATACTGCAAGAGCCACCCCATGCCCACTGGTGTCAGGGAAATTGGACGCCCTAATTTCTCCAACAATACTAGGATGGAAAAAACTGGAGTCAATAGATGGATCACCTATCCCAGGACGAGCTTTATTCCCTTCTGCCACCTAAAGGAGTCAGTTTGTTGTTTGTGTGAGTTCAGTATCTTCCAACTCTCGGCCCTACAGATTGTGTAAGGGAATTTTGCTTTCCTGTTTCCTGGGGAAGTGAATATTCAAGGCACAATAATATTCTGGATGCCACACGTTCCAAACCATGAGCTTAAAATGTAGTTACAGGAACTGTGTATGTGAGCAAAATGTATATGCTAAAATACGGTAGTACTCAACAGAATTTAATGGGATTTTGAATTGGGAGGAACAGCTTTCATCTAGAATGGACAGAGAAAGAGGTAAAACTTGATCTGTACCTGGTAGGAGATGCAGTATTTCTATAGATGGAGAGTTGGAGGGAGGCTTCTTTAGATGAGGGACAGTATATGCAAAGGCAGGAGAATGGGTATCAGTGTGTTTAGGGACACCATGTATGGGAGTGTTTGGGCTGGAGAAAGGTGTTCGTGAAAGTGATGGTCAGCTCCAGAGTTGGGTTAGGAGCAGGTCTTGCAGGTTTAGTGAAGGTGTTTGTAGGGAGATCGTTTATTTTTTATTACTGACTTGAGAGGAGAGAGAAAACACCAATTTGTTGTTCCACTTATTATGCATTAATTTGTTAGCATAGGTACCTACATATGAATAAAAGAAGGATCCTGATGGGCTGGGAAGCTGAATCAGACACTGGGCCTGCTTTGCTGGGAAGCTCAATCAGACACTGGGCCTGCTTTGCTGGGAAGTTGCCGCGTTCATGGGCTCTCCAGGGGATAACAGGATTGTCCCACCAAAGGGATTCGTGCCCCCTGTCTGGAGGAAGGACCGGCTTCTCAGTCTCCCCGGAATACAACTGGTCCATCCTGCCCCAGACTATGGAGGGACGGACTAAATAGAAGGGGAAATTCCTCTGCTGGGCACTTGCCCAGTAGAAGCCAAGATGGTGCAAGGGGAGGTACTTGCAATTTGAGGCGTGCAGGGTAGGAACAAAAATGGCCGCCGTAAGGGGGAGTGTCTAGCCTGGGAAACGCAGAACCCCAAAGATCTAGGAAATGGATTGGTTAGGAGGAGGATCCAACCCAGGAATGATTGGGAAGTTGATTGGTTGGTTTGAAGAAGAGCCTCGTGCTTCCCAAACCCAAAATAATATAATCCCAATTTAATAAAGAAGCTCTCTTCCTCTCTTTCCCTCCCTCCC